AATGAGAACTATAAAAAGTTAAAGAAAGAAATTGCAGAAGACACTAGGAAATGGAAAGACCTCCCATGCTCCTGGATAGGCCGACTTAATATAGTAAAGATGGTGATACTTCCAAAACTAATATACAAATTCAATGCAATTCCTATTAAAATCCCAATGACGTACATCACTGAAATACAGAAAACAGTCCAAAAATTTATATGGAACAACAAAAGACCTAGAATAGCCAAAACAATTCTAGGGGATAAAGACAATATGGGAGGGCTATCCATGCCGAACTTCAAACTCTACTACAGAGCTATAATCACAAAGACAGCATGGTACTGGCACAAAAACAGACCCGAAGACCAATGGAACAGAATAGAAGATCCAGATATAAATCCACAGGCCTACAGCCAGCTGATATTCGACAAAGGAGCCAAAGACATACAATGGAAGAAACACAGCCTCTTCAACCGCTGGTGCTGGGAAAACTGGGCAGCCACATGCAGAAAACTAAAAGTGGACCCCAGCCTATCACCATGCACCAACATCAACTCAAAATGGATTAAAGACCTTAACATTAAACCTGAATCTCTGAAACTACTGCAGGACAGAGTAGGAGAGACACTTGAACTAATAGGCACAGGAAGGAACTTCCTGAACAGAGTCCCAGGGTCACAACAAGTTGGAGAGAGACTCGACAAATGGGACTACCTTAAAATAAAAAGCTTCTGCACAGCTAAATCTATCGCAACTAAGCTAGAAAGACAACCAACTAATTGGGAAAAAATATTTACCAGCAATATATCAGACAAGGGGTTAACATCCTGTATATACAGGGAACTCAAGAAACTAATCCCTCCCAAACCTAACAAACCAATTACTAAATGGGCAAGGGAACTAAAGAGGGACTTCTCAAATGAAGAAATAAAAATGGCAAAGAAACACATGAGGAAATGTTCATCATCCCTGGTGGTGAAGGAAATGCAAATAAAGACAACCCTGAGATACCACCTTACCCCAGTCAGAATGTCCCACATCCACAAATCAGCCAACGACAAATGCTGGAGGGGATGTGGAGAAAGAGGAACCCTATTACACTGCTGGTGGGAATGTACACTTATACAACCACTTTGGAAAGCAGTCTGGAGGATCCTTAGAAAGCTAAAGATTGACCTCCCTTACGACCCAGTCATACCACTTCTAGGCATCTACCCTGAACAACAGGAACCAATATACAAGGACACGTGCACCTCCATGTTTATTGCAGCACTGTTCGCAATAGCTAGGATATGGAAACAACCTAGGTGCCCCACCACAGATGAATGGATCCAAAAATTGTGGTATCTATACACAATGGAATATTATGCAGCCATTAGAAATGACAAAATAATGGCATTTGCAGGGAAATGGATGGAGCTAGAAGGAATCATGTTGAGCGAGGTAAGCCAAGAACGAAGAGACAAACGGTACATGGTCTCCCTCATAAGTGGATGCTAAATCCAAAAGGTTAGGTGATACAACAAAACTAACAGGACTTAAGAAACAAAGAACTCCCGCTCATCTGGTTGAACCACTACTAAATATCCTCATGCTGCTGATCACAAATATGGTATATAACATGTGAACACTGTTATATATTACAGACTGTGGTAGACAATTTGCTCCAGGGAAGTTAGAATGAACTTGTGACTTTGAAATTATGTAATCATTTAATCACAATCAAAAAAAAAAAAAGAACCTCGGGGAAGGGAGGGAGGGAGGGGATGGTAGGGGGAAAACAATGGAGGGGGTAGCAATGTTCAAGAGGAAGTGTACTCATAACCTCACTCATGTAACTGTAACCCTCTGTATAGTAGCTTTACAATAAAAAAAAAAAAAAAAAAAAAAAAAAAGACTAAGGGGAGGGGGGGGTCTTTTTTTTTTTTTTTTTTTTTTTTTTTGCCAATTATGGGACTTAAACTCAGGGCTTGGGCACTGTCCCTGAGCTTCTTTTGCTCAAGGTTAGTACTCTGCCACTTGAGAGCCACAGTGCCACTTCTGGCTTTTTCTGTTTATGTGGTACTGAGGAATCAAACCAGGGTTTCATGCATGCTAGGCAAACACTCTACAACTAAGCCACATTCCCAGCCCACAAAAATCATTTTTTAAATAAAAAAGATTCCTGGAAAGTATCTTTTTTTTTGTGCCTCACACCTAGCTACTCAGAGGTCTCAGCCTGGGCAAAAAAAAAAATCCCTTCAAATGCCATCTCCAAATTAAGCAGCAAAATGCCAAACTGGAGATGTAACTCAAGTGGTAGAATTCCAGTGGTGAGCAAGAAGGCTCAGAGTGCCAGGCCAAGTCCAAACCTGAGTTCAGGCCCTGAGAGCACCAGCTGAGATACACCATTTATTTTTTATTAGTTTCCAGAATAGCTTATTGCTAATATCAAACCCCTACTGCCTGTTTCTGTGGGGAAACATACTAGTATACAGCATAGAATTGACACAAAAACTATGTAAAGGTTAATGCAAAGTTAATTGGGCAAAAATGAAAACTCAACAATCCTGATATTAATAGCTATGCTTAATATACTTCTTTACAGCATGTTCTAGAAATTACAGGTATGAAAGAATTTATTTAGTTTTGTCAGGATTTACTGTCCCAATATGCATACAACCTTGGCATGAGAAGATGCTGTTATATTTTAATGGGGTACCTTAGAAGACTTTTAGAAATTAAGGTAGATAGCTGGGCATGGTGGCTCATGCCTATAATCCTAGCTACTCAGGAGGCTAAGATCTAAGGATCACCATTCAAAGCCAGCCCAGGCAGGAAAGGCTGCAAGACTCTTATCTCCAATAAACCATTCAGCAAACCAGAAGTGGCACTGTGGCCCAAGTGGTAGAGCACTAGCCTTGAGCTGAAGAGCTGAGGGACAGCGCCCAGGCCGAGGGTTCAAGCCCTAGGACTAAAAAAAAAAAAAAAAAAGTAAAAAAAAAAAAATTAAGGTGGAAAGTTAATGGTTGCCAGGATTTTCAAATATAATAGCTATCAAAACATTAAACCAAACCAAAAAACAAGATTTTCATTCTTTTTTTTTGGTCAGTTGTGGTGCTTGAACTCTGGGCCTGGGCGTTGTCCCTCAGCTCTTCAACTCAAGGCGAGCACTCTACCGCTTGAGCCACAGCACTACTTCTGGTTTTCTAGTGGTTTATTGGAAATAAGAGTCTCACAGACTTTCCTGCCCGGGCTGGCTTTGAACCTTGATCCTCAAATCTCAGCCTCCTGAGTAGCTAGGATTACAGGCGTGAGCCACCGGCGCCGGGCTCTTTTTTTGTTGTTATTGGTCCTGGGGCCCTCAGCTCCTCAGCTCAAAGTTAGTACTCTACCACTTGAGACACAGCACCACTTCTGGCTTTTTCTGCTTATGTGCTAAGAAATTGAACCCAGGGCCTCATATATGCAAGGCGAGCACTCTACCACTGATCCACCATCCCAGCCCCTCAAGATTTTCTTTTTTTTGGGTCCGATCATGGGGACTGAACTCTGGGCCTGGGCACTGTCCCTCAGAGCTCTTCAGCTCAAGGCTAGCGCTCTACCACTTGAGCCACAGCGCCACTTCTGGTTTTTTTCTTTTTGCTTATGTGGTGCTGAGGAATCGAGCCCAGGGCCTTGAGCATGCAAGGCAAGCGCTCTACCACTGAGCCACCTTCCCAGCCCTCAAGATTTTTTTTTTTTTTCCTGGTCATGGGGCCTGAACTCTGGGCCTGGGCACTGTCCCTCAACTCTTCAGCTCAAGGCTACGCTCTACCACTTGAGCCACAACACCACTTCCGGCTTTTTCTGTTTATGTGGTGCTGAGGAATCAAACCCAGGGCCTCATGCTTGCAAGGCATGCACTCTACCGCTGAGCCACCTTCCCAGCCCCTCAAGATTTTCTTTTTTTTTTTTTTGTCAGTCGTGGGGCTTAAACTCTGGGCCTGGGCGCTGTCCCTCAGCTCTTCAGCTCAAAGCCAGCGCTCTACCACTTGTCCACTTGAGCCACAGCGCCACTTCCGGCTTTTTTTCTTTTTGCTTATGTGGTGCTGAGGAATTGAACCCAGGGCCTCATGCATGCAAGGCAAGCGCTCTACCACTGAGCCACCTTCCCAGCCCTCAAGATTTTCTTTTTTTTTTTTTTTTTTTGTCAGTCGTGGGGCTTGAACTCTGGGCCTGGGCACTGTCCCTCAGCTCTTCAGCTCAAAGCCAGCGCTCTACCACTTGAGCTACAGCGCCACTTCCGATTTTCTGGTGGTTTATTGGAGATAGGAGTTTCACGGTCTCTTCTGCCCGGGCTGGCTTTGAACCGCGATCCTCAAATCTCAGCCTCCTGAGTAGCTAGGATTACAGGCGTGAGCCACCAGCGCCCGGCTAAAATGTAGGGTTTTTTTTTTTTTTTTTTGGTCGCTCGTGGGGCTTGAACTCTGGGCTTGGGCACTGTCCCTGCGCTCTTCAGCTCAAGGCTAGTGCTCTACCACTTGAGCCACAGCGCCACTCCTCAAGATTTTCTTAATATCACCTCTTGACTACATTTTTTTGGTCAGTCCTGGGGCTTGAACTCAAGGCCTGAGCACTGTCCCTGAGCTTCTTTTGCTCAAGGCTAGCACTCTATCACTTGAGCCACAGTGCCACTTCTGGATTTTTCTGTTTATGTGGTACTGAAGAAACAAACCCAAGGCTTCATGAGTTCTAGGCAAGCACTCCTACCACTAAGCCACAGTCCCAGCCCTCTTGACTACGTTTTTATAATTTAAAATTGAATGTGCTTTATCAAACCAGCTGTGTTCCAATAACTGTGTGAATGAAAAATCATCACAACAAAAAATGGTGATATTTTACTAGCCCTAATTTCAGAGAAATTACTTCCATAAAGCAGTTCTTCCCATGTTTAAAACAAAGAAAAGTGAAATTATAGATGCCTGTAATAGTTTACGAGATATATGTGCTTTTAATAGTTCATCACTAGTAATACTTGATAATCAAGAGCAAATTAATAAGCTAACATTTAAAAATGTATACTTTAATAAGTATAAAATACATAAACAACCTGGTAAGCTTGTGGAGAAGCTGACCAAGATACATAAATTAGGAGATACAAGTATTCATCTATATTTTCTATATTTCCTTTTCTCAGGATATTTATTAAGGTTGTTTAATATACAATTTTGTACTTGTCATTTTGGAAGTCCTTTATTATTAAGATAATTCTTTGATGATAAACAGCAGCCTCAGTGATTATTCTGGACCTCCACGCTGAAAAGAAAAACAAAGCAGTGAGGTTAGATAATAAAATGACTCAGGATAAATGACTCAGGCCATGAGAACAGTACAGAATTACATAAGTGAGGAAGTAGAATTATGGCTCAAGTGGTAGAGCGCCAGCCTTGAGTGAAAAAGCTAAAGGGATCGCACCCAGGCCCTGAGTTCAAGCCTAAGTACGAGCACCAAAAAAAAAGGAAAAAAAATCAATTTAAAACCAAAGCTGTACAAGCAAAAACTTGTCTCTTTTTACAGTTTTGGTAGATGGTCTCTGGTTTGTTGGAAACAATTTCAGGTTTTTCAGTTTTGGTGCAGTCATATTTATGGCCATAAACATCACTGACCTGTATCAGCAGTCAAGTTTGTTTGTCTTGGAAGCCCTCAGTTCTAAAAAACTGAGAATACCCGGGAGCTGTTTATCATGTGGCTTCATTTGTTCACACACAGTGGTAGTTTGCTGAGGGCTCTGATGAGGGATTGTTTTTCACAATGCTGGGCTTCTTTATCTCTCTCTCAACTCTGACTATACTTGACCAGACAGTGGGAAGAGCAAGTATAGCAACAAAAATGTACACCAAATCCAAAATGTTAATGGTACATCACACAATCCTGTAATAAAGAACAATTACATACTTGGATAAATTCCATTTCTTCTTGAGATATAAGTTTCCTTCTATACTTCTGAGGTAATGTTTTTAATATTGCTGCAGTGTCTGGTGGACCCTGATGCATCACGTCTGGTGATTTACTTCCTTTAGCATGCTGGGAGACCAAAGAAGAGTGAGGTGGGAGCCCTGCAGACCTCAAAGCTTCTGATGCTGGAATTGAAAAATAAAAAGCTAAATTAGGGGAATCACTCAGGTGTCTTAAAAATGTTATTTTGAGCTGGGCGCTGGTGGCTCATGCCTGTAATCCTAGCTACTCAGGAGGCTGAGACCTGAGGATCACAGTTTGAAGGCAGCGGAAGCAGGAAAGTCTTTGAGATTCTTATCTCCAGTAAACCATTCAAAAAAGCCAGAATGGTGCTATGGCTCAAGTGGTAAAGCTCTAGCCTTGAGCAAAAAAAAGCTCAGGGATAGCATCCAGGTCCTGAGTTCAAGTCCTTGGACCCTCCCCTCCCCCAAAAGAAAGTTATTTCAGTTTATCTAATACTGACTCAATTCATTCTTGGAATCAGATCAACTCATTCATAAAATAATCCCTTTGTGTATATGTGTCAGTACTGGGGTTTGAACTGGGTCTGGGCACTGTTCTTGAGCTTTTTTGCTCAAGGATGGTCCTGTACCACTTGAACCAGTTTTACTTCTGGCTTTTGGTAATTGGAGGTAAGTCTAATGGACTTTCCTGCCCGGGCTTGAACTACATTCCTCTGATCTATTTTTGTTTTGTTTTATTATATGGAAGTCCTGGGCTTGACTGTCCCAGAGCTTTTGGGTTCAAGACTAGCATTCTACCACTTGAGGCACAGCTTCACTTTCAGCTTTTTGGTGGTTACTGGAGATGAGTATCACAGACTTTCCTCCCCCTGCTGGCTTCAAATCACAGACTTCAGATCTCAGCCTCCTGAGAGCTAGGATTATAGCTATGGGCCACTGGTACCCAGCCTGCATGTTTAACAAAATTACTTTTAGGGCTGGGAAGGTGGCTCAGTGGTAGTGCTTGCCTTGCATGCATGAGACTCTGGGTTCGATTCCTCAGTACCACATAAGCTGAAAAAGACGGAAGTGGTGATGTGGTTCTAATGGTAAGAGCGTTAGCCTTGAAGAGATGAGGGATAGCACCCAGGCCCAGAGTTCAGGCCCCACGACCAACCAAAAAGAGAAAAAAATATTTTTTTAAATAAATGACAACTTACCACTGAGTTTAGGATTGTCTCTTCTGTTAGGGAATCTTATTAATGGAGTATGTGGCTTGACTACCTAAAGGAAAATAAAATGTGTGAAAAAAAAAAAAACCCCAAAAACCTTAATATGCAACTGCAAAAGCAATGGTCTACTAATACTCAAAATATACCTTTAGCTATAAAGGTATGTAATACCTAAAGGTGACAACAAGTTTAAATTGTAATCTCCCCAACAAGGGAAGCTGATCTATGCTATGTTTTTTTTTTCTTTCTTTTTTTTTTTTTGCCTGTCATGGGGCTTAAACTCAGTGCCTGGGCATTGTCTCTTAGCATCTTTTGCTCATGGCTAGTGCTCTACCACTTGAACCACAGTGCCACTTCAGGCTTTTTTTCTGATAATGTGGTATTGAGGAATTGTAACTGGGGCTTCTTGCATACTAGGCAAGCACTCTACCTACCACTAAGTCACATTCCCAGCCCTGCATTGTAAACTTACCTGTTACTTATTCATAACTTTGGACTGTATACATCGTTTTACTGAGTCACCAACATATGTCAAAACAACCCAATAAAAAGGATGACTTGGATTCTGTGTTGCATGAATAACACATTAATAAGAAAAGAACAGGAAAGCTGGGCACTGGTGGTTCACGCCTGTAATCATAGCTACTCAGGAGGCTGAGATCTCAGGAGCATGGTTCAAAGCCAGCCCAGGCAAGAAAGGCCGTGAGGTTCTTATCTCCAATAAAGCACTCAGAAAACTGGAAGTGGTGCTGTGGCTCAAATGGTAGAGTGTTATCCTTGAGCTGGGTTGAGAAGGTGGCTCAGAGATACTGTGCTTGCCTTGCATGCATGAGGCCCTGGGTTCAATTCCTCAGCACCACATAAGCAGAAAAAGCTGGAAGTAGCACTGTGGCTCAAGTAGTAGAGTGCTAGCCTTGAGCTGAAGAGCTGAGGGACAGCACCCAGGCCCAGAGTTCAGGCCCCATGATGGACCAAAAGAAAAAAAGAAAAAAAAAACATGCACTCATTTTTCTTGAGTAATTAACCTACAAGTAGAATTACTGATTGTACATAAGTTATATCTTTGACTATTAGAAAATGACTTTTCTAAAGTTGGCTGTACCATTTTGGACACCCAACAGTGATGTATGAGGATTTCCAGTGTTAGTTTCTATCCACATCACTAAATTTTAGTTACAAGGACTAAGCACATGATGCTGGGAGCTGGTGGTTGGTTCACTTGTATGAAATCCTAGCTACTTGCAAGGCTGAGATCTGAGAAACATGGATTGAAGACAGCCCTGGCAGACAAACCAGACTCATCTCCAATTAACCACAAAAGGACTGTGCATAGCTAGGATAGAATGTACAGAAAGTCCTGGTTCAGTCAGCAGCAACAAAAAAAATAAATTTTAGTCATTTTGGTGGATATGTAGTACCTTCTGGTTTTAACTATTTTTCTAGGAAGTAAGGACTGTTGAACTTGCGTATCTTTCTATGCTGCATCACTGACACATTTTAAGATTATATATGAGTTGGTGATCCATCGTATAAATTGATATTGGTACATATGGTTATATATATTACAGACACCAGGCCTTTATCAGTTGTTCTCTGTCCCTACAGAATTTTCAATAAGGACAAGGTCTTTTAAGAAATGTAGCCCAGGGCTGGGAAGGTGGCTCAGTGGTAGAGCACTTGCCTTGCATGCATGAGGCCCTGGGTTCGATTCCTCAGCACCACATAAGAAAAAAGCCAGAAGTGGCGCTGTGGCTCAAGTGGTAGAGTGCTACCCTTGAGCTGAAGAGCTGAGGGACAGCGCCCAGGCCCAGAGTTCAGGCCCCACGACCGGACCCCAAAAAAAAAAAGTGCTAGTGAAGAGGAAAATGCACTTCTGGTATGGCAGGGAAAAACGAACCGGAACTAAAATGCTTGCAAAATTGCAAAAGACTACATAAACCAGTTGCAAAAGGTTGTGTCCAGGTACCTATCAACTTTACTACTCCTTTTTCATCTGGCTACCACAACTGGAGAAGCAAAAAAAGGCTAAAAAGCGAAAAACTGTCAGGAGTAACCAGGGGACGTGTGAATTAACAGTATTACCCTACTTGCCCATCAAGTAGGGGGATGAGGCTTGCGAGACCAGCACTGAAAAATATGCAATCAAATAATCAAGTCTCATGGTATCCTTTTCTTCCCACCATCCGGCCCGCAGCCCGAGTGCCGAGGCTGAGTCGACGACCCGGCCTCTGGCGAGCACGCAGCCCGGGAACCAGTTATCCCGCCATTCCTGAGACCTTGAAGGGACACCGGGTCAGACCCAAGGTTTGCTTCCTTTCACGTCTTCCTCCGGATTGGCCGACGGGGGACGTGGCCGGCGAAAGTAGACGCTGATTGGCCGCGCCAGGAGGGGGCTGCAGAGCCCGCGGACTGCAGAAGCTGGGGTCCCGGCGCAGGGGACCGGGGGCCTCGAACCTACCTACCTGCCCAGTGGGATGCCGCATCGCCCCTGCAGGGCTCGGACCCTCCGCTCCGGACTGCCTCACTCCCGGCGCAACAAACGCAAGGTCCCAATGTCAGACACACAACCCGACGGCCCCGCTCAGGGCCGCGCTCACCGCGCATCCTCGGCCCCGCGTCTCCTCTCCAGCGCCGCGGCCACACCTGCACCAGCCCCACCGCCCCAGGTGCGGAAGAGCATCTGAATGCCTTTACCTGAACGACCCTGCTGGCAGACGCCATCTTGCTGCCCATCATGACCCCGGGAAGGGGCAGCTTCCGGGGCGCGAGCGAGCCGAGCCGCACTGCTGCTCCCCCAAGTGGTCCGTGGAGGCGGGGCCTGGTTGTGATGTCACAGGGCGGGGCGGGGCGGGGCGCCGCCTCGGCGGGGTGGCCCCGCCCCTTCCCTCCTGGGCACTCACCCTAGAGCTGTCTATTGTTTGGTTTATGCCCAGAAGTTTGGATTGTTTGCTTCATCAGCCTTTTATTTATGCTGGGTCACTGCTTTCCCAGATAGCCTGTTACTCATTTCAGTGGACTTTGAACTTTGATCTGGAGCCACATAAAATAATACAGGCTCGAATGCCAGGGTTATTCGTGGTGGTGTGTTTTGTTTTCATTTTCCGCTTCTTAGGGGAAAAAATGAGGAGCGCAAAAAGGGAAGGAGAGAGGAAGGGTGAACAAAGTATTCAGTGTATACTGTGTGGAAAATGAACTACGTAACTTGTGGGCAGGGACGGAAGGAGGAAACTGGGAGAAACAAAGGGTGACATGGTCCAAAAGAGAAATGTTCACATTACTTGAATGTGAAATGGTAACCCCTCTGTACAACACCTTAATAATATTAACTACAATAAAAGCTCTGCGGCTTCCTACAATGGAAAAACTTTATTTAAACCATCAATTCTGGTTTAATGAGTGCTGGTTGGCTTTGATTTCTACTTGTTTAATCTTCAACTTTGAGAGAACTAAAAAATTCAGATGTTTTAGAGTTTTGGACTCAGAACTTTATGCTTAGCTAGCACTCTACCACTTAACACCAGTCCCACCCTACCCTCTCTCCCATCCATTCTACTAGTTTATTTTTCAAATAGGGTCTTTTTGTTGGAACTGATCTTGTGATCCATGTAGCCACATAGCTAAGGTTTAATTTTTTAAATATAATTTTATTGTTCTTAAGGTGTTGTACAGAGGGGTTACCATTTCCTAAGTCAGATAATTGTATTTCTTTTTTGGGGGATGTCAACTCTTCCTTTGCTTCCCTCCAGTTTCCCCTGCCCATCCCTGCCCAAAAGTTATGTAAGTCATTTTCCACATGGTTTATACTGAATAGCATAATTGCATCTGTTCACCCTCCCTCCTCCCTCCCTTTCTTTATCCTTCCTTTACCTTTCCTAAAAGCGAACCAGAGCAAAAACAAGCCACTACCACTACTACCACCACCAACAACAACAACAAAAAGCTGGACGCTGGTGGCTCCTGCTTGTAATCCTAGCTACTCAGGAGGCTGAGATCTGAGGATGGCAGTTTTAAACCAGCTGGGGCAGGAAAGGCTGGGCAAGACTATTTCCAATTAACCACTAGAAAACTGGAAGTGGAGCTGTGGCTCAAAGCAGAAAGTGGTAGAGCCATAGCTGCTAGCAAAAGAGCTCAGAGAGAATGCCCAGACCCTGAGTTCGAGCCCCACAACTGACAAAAAAAAATGTTTCCATTTCCTGAAGTTTGTTTGGATAAGTAATATTTTATATGTTCAGAGAAGTTACACCTTGTATTCCTCTCCTAAGGGCATCCTTCATTCGTCTGTGTGTGAATGCCTAAAGGTTTAATTTTTTAAATAATTTTTATTGTAATTGATTACATAAAGTTCACAAATTTCACAGCACTGTGGAAGTTAAAAGTCACAAACATTCTAAACTTGATGAGACAAATTGTCATTATTGTGGTCTATAAAGTTTGTGAATTCTATGAGCTTTGACAATACAACTATTTCTTCCACATTGGGTGATACGTACATTTCTTTCCTTTTGCTTAGTGTCAGCTGTTCCCTCTTTCCCTCTCATTCCCTCCCTCCTATCGCTGCTCTTGAGTTGCTTAGTTCGTTTTCATCAACGTTCAGCGCAGGTGATGGGCTCCTCTGTTTTATGTTTTCCCGCTTCTATGTCCTCCTAGTTTCCCTCAGATGTGTGCAGATATATATATATAATTTTGAAACATAAACCAGTCATATCATTCCTCCAGATTTATATTAAGTTCTGTGTTAAATATTAATGCTTAAAATAGGACAAAACCTGTTGAAATTGTTTTAAGAAGGTGGAATTGGAGTAAGGGAGAGTGAGAGACTGGTGAGGGTATATGTGTGTATATATGAAACCCCTTCAAGTACAGCTAGTGTAATGTTAATATTTTCATAAAATATCAATGTGAGAGAATGACAGAGGGAGGGTGAGATGATTGGAACATAAATGTGTGGAAATGTAACTATGAAATCCTCTCACTGTACAAAGTAATGGAATTTTTTTTAATGCTTAAGACCATGTTAGAAGGATTATAAGCTCAAGATTACATGGGCAATTTAGCAGAACAGTATGTTGTGGGGATTGTAACTCAATGGTAATTCCTTGTACAACAAGTACATGGCCCCTGGTTCAATTCCCAGTTAGCGCACAAATAAAATCATTATAACTTTTTTTTTTTTTTTTTTTTTGGGCTCCTGTCGTGGGGCCTGAACTCTGGGCCTGGGCGCTGTCCCTCAGCTCTTCAGCTCAAGGCTAGCGCTCTACCACTTGAGCCACAGCGCCACTTCCGGCTTTTTTCTTTTTGCTTATGTGGTGCTGAGGAATCGAACCCAGGGCCTTGAGCATGCAAGGCAAGCACTCTACCACTGAGCCACCTTCCCAGCCCATCATTATAACTTTTTAAAAAAAAGTTTTTTGGTCAGTCCTGGGGCTTGAACTCTGGGCTTAGGCGCTCTCCCTAAGGAGAGTGCTCAAGGAGAGTGCTCTACCGCTTGAGCCACAGCACCACTTCTGGTTTTCTAGTGGTTTTTATTAAAGATAAACATCTCACGGACTTTCCTGTCTGGGCTGGCTTTGAACCTCGATCCTCAGATCTCAGCCTCCTGAGTAGCTAGGATTACAGGCGTGAGCCACCGGCACCTAGCTTAAAAAAAGTTTTAGCAAAATTTTATTTTTACTATATCAGGATAAAAAATGAAAAAAAGAAAAGTGGAGAAACATTACCTACTTCCCACACAAGAAATGTAAGTGAAGAGTCTCACTAATGGAATTTTTAATATGCTTGCTATGGAATTTAACATAGTTTCGTAGATGATTATAGCCTTAAGCTATAGTAACTAGATTGACCAGTTTGGTTTGGTGATAAAACAATGATACTCAGCTTCAGCAGCCCATAAACTATAATTGAAGAATACAGGGAAGGGGAGAGATTGACAAGGATACTAACTATACAAGGACACACAGAAATTCATAAAGTGTCTTTGTCTTTATTTTTTTTGCCAGCGCTGGGGCTTGAACTCAGGGCCTGGGCATTGTCACTTACTTGCTTTTGCTCAAGGCTAGCACTCTACCACTTGAGCAACAACACCACTTCTAGCTTTTTCTGCTTATGTGATGCTGAGGAATTGAACCCAGGGCCTCATGCATACAAGGCAAGCACTCTACCACTGAGCCACCTTCCCAGCCCCAGGCTACCAAGTTTTTTCCTTTTTTCTTTTTTTTTGTCGGTCATGGGCCTTAAACTCGGGGCCTGAGCGCTGTCCCTCAGCTCTTCAGCTCAAGGCTAGTGCTCTACCACTTGAGCTACAGTGCCACTTCCGGTTTTCTGGTGGTTTATTGGAGATGAGAGTTTCACGGACTTTCCTGCCCAGGCTGGCTTTGAACCTCCTCAGTCCTTAGCTCAGCTTCCTGAGTAGCTAGGATTATAGGTGTGAGCCACTGGTGTCCGGCCCAGGGGCTACCAATTTTGAAGCAGATGAAAGATATCTAGAAGAGGGCTGACAGTAAGCAATGAAGACTGAGTTAGAAGATTAATTGGCTAAAATGACGTGTCTTGGGTTTGGGGGCTTTTAACTCAGGGCCTAGGCACTGTCTCCAAGCTTCTTTTGCTCAAAGCTAGCGCTCCGCTCTACCACTTGAACCACTGCACCACTTCCAGCTTTTTTTTTTGTTTATGTGGTATTGAAGAATCAAACCCAGGGCTTCATGCATGTTAGGCAAGTACTCTACCACAGAGCCACATTCCCAGCCCGTGTCTTGGGTTTTTTAAAGAAAAAAGGCTAGAATTCAACAGACCTCCTTTATACAGGAGACTTTGGAGAGGTGTTAACAATTAGGTTTAAAGGTATTTTGTAAGTTACATAAGAGGGCAAAAACTTTGTTTTTAAAGCAGAGCTAAGCCTGGGATTGATACACTGAAAGACACTTAACCTTGGGCCCAGACTTGGACTTTGGCCCAAGCCTGTTAGAAAAACTGTTTCCCCAAGTTATAAAGAAGATTTGATGCTGTGTGGCCATTTCTTCCATCTCTCATCTTTCCTCCTTCCTCAAAGCTTTCATTCACAACAGCTGGCACTGTACTACTTGAGCCAGGCCTCTACCTCTCAGGGGCAGAACAGCTGTAAGTTTATAATCTCTGTGGTTGGTGGGTGCAACTATGAGGAGGGCAAACAAACAGGCAGTTATGACCTTGGCACTTCGGATCTAGATTTGCTGGTTTTTGTTTTGTTTTGTTGCCAGTCCTGGGGCTTGAATTCAGGCCCTGGGCACCATCCCTAAGCTTTTATGCTCATGGCTAGTGCTCTACCACTTGAGCCACAGCCCTAATTTTGGCATTTGGTGATGAAGGAGATGAGTTTTGTGTACGGCTGGGACTGGCTTCAAATCGGGATCCTCAGATCTCAGCCTCCTGAGTAATTACAATTATAGGTATGAGCCACCAGCACCCAGCTGCATTTTTTTTATAGTAAGACACCAACTGTTTATGAAAGAAAATGTTTTAATTCATCCATTTAGTTGATGCCTGGAGATGAAGGGCTACCATTTTACTGGTACCAGAATGATTTGCAGAACTTGTTAAAGCTCCAAAACTCCTCACCTCCAAAGTCCTGAGAAGCTGAGGGTGCACAGTCATGTTGAGATAAAATGGGAATGGGAAGAACTGATAGATTTAGAGCTCAAAAGAAGTTGGTGGGTGTCAATGGGCATATATATGAAAGACATAAAATAATAAAGCTGGGTGGAGTGGTATATGACTACAATTCCAGTTACTTGGGAGGCTGAGGCAGGATCATGAGCTTAAGACCAGTCTAACCATGATGAAGTTCTGCA